GCGCCGCGGACGGCGCGCGCGACGGCGCCGGCGTCGGCTCGGGCGTGTACGTCGGGCCCGCCGTCGTCGGGCGCGGCGACGGCGCCGTGGGCGCGGCCGTCGGCGCGGCCGTCGGCGACCGCACGGCGAGCTCGGCGAAGGCGACGCCGGACGCGGCGAGCGCGAGGCGCGGCGGCGTCGTCTCCTCGACGACGAGGGTGACCGCGCCGACGTCGGGCGCGGCCGCCACCGCGGCGCCCGTCGCCGCGTCGACGACCGTGATGGCCTCGCCGGGCGCGTTCACCGTGATGCGGTACGTGCCGCCGGTCTCGAGGACGACGCCGGACTCGCGGAGCGCGAGTCCGTCGACGTGGAGCTCGTTCGCGCAGCTGTAGCCGCTCCACTGGATGGCCGTCGCCGCGCCGCCGGCGTCGCAGAGCTCGTCGGAGGGCAGGCAGACGTGGGCCATCCAGCCGCTGAGCAGGAACATGTCGTAGTTGAGGGCCGCGGCGCCGCAATCCGTCCGGGCGCCGTACGCGACCGCGTCGTCGCCGCCCATGGTCTCGTTGGCGAGGTAGCCCGAGTCGCCGTGGACCTGGTCGAAGAGCGACGCGTTCACGAAGTAGGACGCGTCGACGTCGCAGGTCTGCGCGTGCAGCTCCCCGAAGGCCGGCGGCGCGCCGCCGACGCGGCTCTCGAAGCGCGCCGCGCACGCGTCGCCCGCGGCGACCGCGAGGAGCTCGTCCGCGGCGCCGTCGACGACGTAGAGGACCCCCGCCGGGCTCACGTCCATGCCCTGGAGCGCGCCGGGGCGGCCCGTCTCGAACGCGCCGAGCCGCGCGCCGCTCGCGACCTCGAACGCGACGATCGCGCCCGTCGCGTGCTCGGCGACGTAGAGCACGCCGTCGGCGAGCGCGAGGCCCGTCGGCCGGTCGAGGCCACTCGCGAAGACGGCCTGCGTCGTGCACTCGTAGACCGAGTACTCGAAGGACGGCAGCCGGCTGCTGAACGCCGGGTACTCGGGCACGCCCGCGCACTCGGCGACGTCGTCGCCCTCGCCCTCGCAGCCGCGCGCGGACCGCGAGAACGCGCCCGAGTCCGCGTCGACGCGGAGGATCTCGCCGGTCTGGGCCGAGCTCACGAAGAGGCTCCGCGTCGCCGCGTCGACGACCATGCCCGCGTGGAGCGCCGGGTCCGGCCGCACGTCGACGTCGACGAAGCGCCGCACGGCCGCGTAGGAGTGGTCCATGTTGCCCGGGCCGTGGGGCTGCTGGAAGTCGAAGCGCACGACGTCGTTGAGGAACGCGTCGACGGCCCAGAACACGGTGCCGTACGCCGTCGCCGTCTCCGGGTCGTGGACGATGCCGACGCAGTCCGGCGCCTCGTGGAGCATGTCGCTGTGGAGGAAGTAGCACGCGTCGGCGTCGGAGCACGCCGCGCCCTCGCGCGTCACCAGGTTCGGGTGCTCCGGCGACGTGTCGTAGAGCGTCGGCCCCATGAAGTAGTTGGGCACGTGCGTGTCGAGGTACGTGTTCAGCGAGTTCTGGCACGTCGCGAAGCTCGCGAACGTGTCCTTGTCCGCGTCGCGGCCGCTGTCGGCGACGGCGTTGAAGGACAGGGCCGTCGCGTTGGCCATGTAGTGGAAGTAGCCCCGGTCCCGGCGGCTGAACGTCGTCGCGTCGGCCGTGCCGACCGCGGACACGATGGACACGCTGTGGTTGTGGGCGTTGACGACCCAGGCCTCCTCGCCCGCCGTCGAGAAGGACCGGCCCTCGGAAAAGGTCCCGAGGTGGGCGCCGGGCGACGGCGTGAACGCGACGTCGCGCGCGCCCGCGAAGCCCGCGGCGACGACGGTCAACGACGGCGCGGCGCCGAACGCGGGCGCGCACTGGTCCGCGCAGGCGGCCTGGCCGTCGCAGGGCTCGGTCTCCATCGTCGCCGTGTCCGCGCAGGTCGACGAGCGGTTCCGGTAGCGCACGCCCGAGTCGCCGCACGTCGCCGTGCACGGGGACCATTCCGACCATTCGTCGGTGGCGCACGCCGCGTCCTCGTCGTCGTCCTCCTCGACGACGGCGTCGCCGTAGCCCGTCTGCTCCTCGAGCAGCGGCGTCAGGTAGTCGGCGAAGGTCTCGTTGAGCGCCAGGAGGTCCGCGACCTTGCAGTCCGAGTACCGTTCGACGCCGCAGCAGGGGCCGACGAACTTGTGGCGGATCGCGCCCGACCCGTCGAGGATCGCGTAGGACGGGTGGTGGTAGGGCGCCGTGAACAGCAGATCGCGGATCGCGTAGTCCTCGTCGTAGATCGTGTAGGGCTGGTCGACGACGGCCAGACCGAACTGGTCCTCGGCGTAGTCTTCGTAGCGCGAGGCCCACGTGCTGCACGCGCTCCCGCCCTTGAGGCCGCTGAGGAAGGCGATGCGGCCCGTGCCGAAGGCGTTGGCGTAGAGCTGCGCGACGTAGGGGAAGAGCGACGCCTCGCGGCGGCCCGCGTTGCAGCCGACCATGTAGTTGGCGACGACGGTGATCCGCCCGCCGTCCGCGGCGGGCGCGACCTCGACGCCGTCCTGGCTGAGCGTGCCCGTCACGGAGGCCTGGATGGACGTCGAGCTGTCGGGGAAGCAGACGTCGTAGAGGGTGTCGTCGTCGACGACGTCGCCTTCGCACTTGGCGGTCGCGGCGTCGCAGGTGTCGACGCAGGACTGGCCGCGCGCGCCGGCGACGAGCGCGATGAATGTGGCGGCGCGGTGCATGGTGTGCGTGATGTGTGTGTGCACGGATGCGCGGTTGCGCGTAGTGGTCGGTGCTCGGTCGACAGCTAAGCAGCTCTGCGCATGCCGGAGCCGCGGAGCTTCTCGGAGTGCACCGCGGTGAGGTGGCGCTCAACGCGTAATCAACGTCGGCCTCGACCGCGGCGCGCGCGCAGCTCCGTCCAGGTTTAACGTCCAGGAAGGCGTCCACCTGTTGGAGCCGAATTGTAGGTGGCCATGACGACGGCCCGGCCGCTCGCCGGCAGCGGACCGAGGTCGCGGGATCGCGCGCCGGCGTCACGGTGCGCGCCGCGGCGCGACGTACTTCACCTTGTCCGTCGAGACTCCATAGGCCTTGCCCTTGGCCGTGAGCTGGGACACGGGCTTGTGCACGTTGAAGTAGCACTCCGTGTGGAACGTGGAGGGGAGCACGTCGACGACGTCGTCGTCCAGCGTGTCGACGTACTTCACTTACTTGGAGGCCGCGCCCGGGCCCGCAGGGCTTTCTCTGGAGGGCACCGTTTAGAGCTGTGGTCGGGCCACTCCTTCTTCCACAAGATTTGTTCGATCCCCTCCTGGTTTCTTCGTAGGCCGCAGATGACCAGTCTTGCTTTTTGCGACAGGCCGCTGGTGGCGCAACGTGCTCGCCTTGCACGCCTGGACGCCCGCGGACATCCCGCCGGAGCTCCGCGCGGCCGTCAACGAGGGCATGATCGTCCACCTCGCGCCCGTCCTCCGGGGCGGCAAGCTCAGTTTGGGCCTCATCCAGGTGGGCGACACCTACGGCGAGCGCTGGCGCGAGGACAAGGCGGCCGCCGTGACCGCCGCGCAGCCGTGAGGTCGCTGGGGGGAAAGAAACTACGCATCGCTCCCGGCCGCCCGCCGCCGCGACAGCCTACCACTACGCGACGATACGGCGAACAAGACCGACGGCGTCGCCGCGAAGAACGCGCGACGCGCGGCGCATCAACGAGAGGCAAACTTCGGCTCGGCACTGGGCCCTCCGGCTCTGCGGCTCGCCGCAGCGTCCGCTCAGCTGCCGCGAGTCGCCGGCGCTCCACGCCGCGTTTTAAGCGTCGAGCCACGCGCGCGTCGCGCTCGCGCCTTCCGCCATGCAGGGCATGCCCATGGGCGGCCGCGCCGGGGGCGGCTACGGCCAGCAGCCGGGCATCATCCTGCTCCGCGAGGGCACGGACAGCAGCCAGGGGAAGCCGCAGCTCATTTCGAACATCAACGCCTGCGGCGCCGTCGTCGACAGCGTGCGATCGACCCTGGGCCCCCGGGGCATGGACAAGCTCATGTACGACGGGAACAAGGTGACCATCTCCAACGACGGCGCGACGATCATGAAGCTCTTGGACATCGTGCACCCGGCGGCGCGCGTGCTCGCGGAGATCAGCATGTCCCAGGACAGCGAGGTCGGCGACGGCACGACGTCCGTCGTGCTGTTGGCCGGGGAGATGCTCAAGCAGGTCAAGCCCTTCGTCGAGGACGGGCTCCACCCGCAGACGATCGCGCGGGGCGTCCGCAAGGCCGTCGACCTCGTCTCCGCGCGGCTCAAGGCCATCGCCGTGACGCCGCCCGAGGCCATGCGGCGGAAGCGTCTGGAGATCCTCGCGGGCACGGCGCTGAACTCGAAGCTCATCGCCAACTACAAGGACCTGTTCGCGCCGATGGTCGTCGACGCGATCATGGCGCTGGACACGTCGCTTCTCGACCTCAAGCTCGTCGGCGTCAAGAAGGTGCCCGGCGGCTCCGTGACGGACTCCTTCGCCGTCCAGGGCGTGGCCTTCAAGAAGACCTTCAGTTACGCGGGCTTCGAGCAGATGACGAAGTCCTTCGAGAACTGCAAGGTGCTCTGCCTCAACGTCGAGCTCGAGCTCAAGAGCGAGAAGGAGAACGCGGAGGTGCGCATCAGCGACCCCGACGACTACCAGTCCATCGTCGACGCCGAGTGGCAGATCATCTACGACAAGCTCGATTTCTGCGTCGACTGCGGCGCGAACGTCGTGCTGTCGAAGCTGCCCATCGGCGACCTCGCGACGCAGTACTTCGCGGACCGGGGCCTCTTCTGCGCGGGCCGCGTGCCGGACCAGGACATGGAGCGCGTCGTCAAGGCCACGGGCGCCGTCACGCAGACGTCCGTGTTGGATCTGACGCGCGCGGGCGTCCTCGGCCGCTGCGCGCTCTTCGAGGAGAAGCAGGTCGGCAACGAGCGCTACAACGTCTTCACGGGCTGCCCCGCGGCGAAGACGGCGACCATCGTCCTCCGGGGCGGGTCCGAGCAGTTCATCGAGGAGAGCCACCGCTCCATCCACGACGCGCTCATGATCGCGAAGCGCGGCGCGGGCGACGCGCGCGTCGTCGGCGGCGGCGGCGCGGTCGAGATGGAGCTGAGCCGCGACCTGCGGGCCCAGGCGCTCGAGGTCCACGGCAAGGACCAGCTCATCATGCTCGCCATCGCCAAGGCGCTCGAGATCATCCCGACGCAGCTCGCGATGAACTCGGGCTTCGACCCGACGGACGTGCTCAACGCGCTCCGCAAGAAGCACGCCGACGACCCGGAGGCCAACCTCTGGTACGGCGTCGACTGCGACGAGCGCGACTCCATCCAGGACACCATGGCCGCGGAGATCTGGGAGCCCGCGTTGAACAAGGCCAACTCGATCTACGCGGCGTGCGAGGCCGCGTGCCTCATCCTCAAGATCGACGAGACCGTGCGCAACCCGCGGTCCCAGGACCCGGGCGCCGCCGACAAGTCCGGCGTGTCCCTCCAGCAGCAGCAGCAGCGCACGTCCGCCGCCATGGGCGGCCGCGGCATGGCGGGCATGATGGGCCGCGGCGGCCGCGGCGTCCGCCGCCTCAAGTAGGCGACCCCGGCCGCTCGTGTCGCGCCACGCCGCGCGCGGACGCCCCCGCCGCGACCTCGGGCGGGGGGGGTACCTCTTAACATCCGACGACCCCGCGAAGATACCCCGCGACCGCCTATGGTTGAACTGCTCCTTGAACCACTGAGTGGCAAACCGCCATGACGGCGCAGGGGATGGCGGCCATGGAGGTGGCGTGAACTCAGTGGCAAAACGCGGCGGCGAGAAGGTTGCGATGGCGGCCATGGAGGTGGCGGACGTGCTCCAGCTGGCGGACCGGCCCTGGCAGGAGATCTCGACCGTGCGGCTTCCAGCCGCGACACCACCGCGGGAGGCGTGCGACGTCGACGACGCGCCCGGCTGCGACTTCTCCTGCCTGCTCAAGGCCGGCGCGCCCTTCAGCGACGTTTCCGTCGACGGCCGCCCGCTGCACGCGCTCTTCGTCGACGGCGCCGGCGACGACGTCGCGGCCGCCTACGGCGCGGCGGGCGCGGCGAGCCGCGCGGCCGCGCGCGAGAAGCTGCTTCGAGCGACGCGCGGCGACGTCGCGGCGCGCGGCGACGTCGCGGCGCGCGGCGACGTCGCACCGCCCCCGGGCGACTGCGACCTCTGCTACGAGGGCGCGGCCGTGCGCGCGCACCGCTGCGTGCTCTGGGCCCAGTCGGAGTACTGCCGCGGCGCGCTCGCGCACGGGTCGGCGCGCGTGGCGCTGCCGGCCTGCGGCGCGGCGCTCCGCGCCGCGCTGCCGGAGCTCGGGGCCTACCTGGCGACGCGCGACGCGCGCGAGCGCGAGGCGCTCCTCGACGCCTGCGGCGCGGCGCCGCAGGGCGCCGGCGAGCCCGCGGCCGTCTGCGTCGCGCGCCTCGCGGACGCGGCGCTGCTCTGGGACCTCAAGGCCGCGGCGCTCGCGCGGCTTGTGGCCGCCGTCGACGACGGGAGCGCGGCGCCGCTCCTCGGCGTCGCGCGGTCCCTCGACGACGAGCCCCTGCGGCGCGCGTGCCTCGAGCGCGTCGTCGCGGCGGGCGTCGACGCCGCGCGCGCCGCCGCGGGGAGCGAGCTCTTCGACGCGCTCATCCCCGTCGAGCGGCACGCGGCGCTCCGGCGCCTCGGGGACCTCGCGCGGTCGAACCCGCTGTCGTGCCGCGCGGACCTGTCCGACGCGCGCGAGGCCGTGGCCATGCTCCGCGAGGCCGTCGACGGCCGCGGCGAGCGGCTCGTCGAGGCCGAGGACCGGCAGCGCGAGGCCGAGCGGCGGTGTCGGCGGGGGAGAAGGGGAGCAGCGGACCGGGAGAACGCGGCCAAGGTCCGCGCGGCCATCGAAAGGCAGCGCGTGAGTTTGGCGAGCCTCGAGCGGTTCACGCGGACCCAGGAGGCCCTCTTCGCCGACGCGGAGGACCGCGCGCTCGTCGACGGCGACGGCGACTTCCTGCCGTCCTACGACTGGCGGCCCGTGCCCGAGGGCGCGGCCGTCCCGCCGGGCCTCGACGTCAAGCTGTCTTTCGAGGGAAAACAAACGATCGCGCGCATCCCGGAGCCGTGGCAGCTCCGGCTCGTCAAGGACGACCGCTTCGTCCGCGTCGCCGTCGACCGCCACGCGCGCGTCGCGGACGTCGTCGCCGAGCTCGGCGGCGGCGTCGTCCTCGTCGGCGACGGCGGCGCGCTCGACGGGGACCGCCGCTTCGACGCGAAGCTGTGGCGCGCGCGCCAGCGGCTCACAGTCCGCGAAGTGACGTAAGCCCTAGACGTCGACGCCCATCGCGCGCCCCGCGGCCATGACGTCGGCGACCCACGCGGGCACGGGCGGGGCCTCGGGCGGGTCGAGCGCGGGCCGCGGCGCCGCAGCGGCCGGCGGGTCGCGCGCGGGCCGCGTTTCCGGCGCCGAAGCGGCCGGCGCGTCGCCCGGCGGGTCCGCCGCGCCGCAGAGCGGCGGCGCGATGGCGCACGACGCGCGGGTCGCGCCCGCGAAGGCCGCGCCCGTCGTCGGCGCCTCGGTGCCCCAGCCGATGGCGTCGAACATGGCGTAGTCCATGGCGTAGGCCGCGCGGACGCGGTCGAGGAGCTCGGGCGTGTAGTGCGCGGACGCGTCGCGCCGCGGCCGCGTGCGGTGCCGCGCGCCGTTCGACGCGAAGAGCGCGTCCGCGCGGTAGCGGCGGCCCTTGCGCCACCAGCCCGTCGCGCCCGCGGCGTCCCAGAGGCCCAGGGACCGCAGGAGCATCTCCGCGTGGAGCGCGAGGTGCTCGTAGGCGCCGACGAACTGGAACGCGGGCAGCAGCTTCTCCATGTTCGACAGGTAGCGCCTAAAGGCCGAAGAAACAAGTTCCAAAAGCACGTTCCGAAAAAACGCGGCGCGCGCGCTGGGGCCGCCAGTGCGGGTTCGTCCCGAAGTGGAGGCCCGTGGGCCGGGACCGGTTCGTGTCGCCGGCCGCGACGAGGTCCACAAAGTCCGCGAACTTGAGCTTCTTCTCCGCGTGGAAGACCTTCGTCGAGTACGAGTTGCCGACGACGAACCTAAAAGGGGTGTTCCGCGCGAGCGACCGCGGCAGGACGCGCGGAACGCACTTGTCGAGGTAGGCGCTCAGGAGGCGGCTCGCCGGGTCTCGGAAGAAGACGGCCTTGGTCCACGACGGGTCGTTGAGCATCTCCGTCGCGCGCGCGGGCGCCAGCGCGCTCAGCAGGGGCCGGTCGCCGCGGAAGTGGGGGTTCCTCGACCGCCAGTCGCTGTCGTTGCGCAGGCGGTGGAAGAGGCGCATGAACTCGGAGCACGCGGCCTTGGGCACGGCCGCGAAGAGCAGGCGGTGCCGCTCGTCGACGTAGACGAAGTGGGACAGGTAGGCGACGTCGGCCCGCGTCAGCGCGAGGCGCGGCGGCGGCACGCTCGGCATCACGAAGGCCGACGCTTTCGCCGTGCGGTTGCCGACCTCGTAGTCGATGGCGAGGCGCTCCGCGGCCGTGAGCGGCGCCTTGGGCTTGCGCGCGAAGTAGTTGATGACGGCGCCGCCTTTGCGCACCGTGCGCGTCAGGTTGCCGCGCGGCCGCCGCACCGGGGCCGCCAGGAGCTCCTCTGCACACGCGCGCCACAGCAGGAGCCACGCGAGGGGCAGCCGCATGGCCAGACGTCGCATCGGACTGCACAATGACAGTGTTGAGGGCAGCACCGAGCGATTTTACCACAGCAAACACTTCATGTCGTCGCTTCGCACGCCGGCGGTCGTCGTCTGCGTGGCGGCGATGGCGCTCTACGGCGACGCGACGGCGGCGCTGAGCCCGGACTCGCGGCTCTACAACCCGAGCGCCATGGCGACGGCGAAGATCGAGGGCGACCAGCACTACGAGGAGCTGCGAAAGGCCGGCGTGCTGCGGCTGCGGCGCGACGTCATCGTGCGCGCGCGCGCGCCCGACGGGCTGCCGCTGAAGAAGGAGGAGAAGATGGTCCACCTCATCCGCCACGGCCAGGGCTACCACAACCTCCTCGGCGACGTCTACCGGGACTTCGGGCGATCCGTCGACTCCACCGGCGGCGGCGACGCGGACAACCCCTACGTGCGGCCGGAGATCGAGGACGCGCCGCTGACGGCTCTTGGAAGAACCCAGGCCAAGGGTCTGCGGGTCGCGACGAAGATCCTGAGCGGCATCGAGCTCGTCGTCGTGTCGCCGCTGCGCCGCGCCGCGGAGACGGCGGCGTTGTCGATGCCGCACCTGAGGACCGTCGTGCCCTGGGTCGGCCACCCGGCCGTCCAGGAGACGTCGGGGAAGCACACCTGCGACCGGCGCCGCGACCGGTCCGAGATCAAGGACGACTTCCCCTGGGTCGACTGGGGCCTCGTCAAGCCCGAGCGCGACGGCGTCTGGACCGCGGACCGCGAGCAACCGAAGGCCGTCAGCGACCGGGCCTACGCCTTCCTCCTCTGGCTCCGCGAGCGGCCCGAGCGCGAGGTCGCCGTCGCGACGCACAGCGCCTGGCTCTTCACGCTGCTCAACTCCTGCGTCGACTGCGCGGACCCGCAGCTCGCGGCCTGGTTCCTCACGGGCGAGCTGCGCTCCGTCGTCCTCTCCTACGAGGACTACATCCTCTCGGACGTGGACCAGCAGGTCAAGGACGCCTTCGGCTACACGTACCCGATCCCGCCCAAGGACGACGACGGCAACGTCGTCGACTGGGCCGCGAAGGGCGACCTCTAATCTCTCTCCTAGAGGCAGTACGCGGGTGATTGTGGGATGGTCCGCGGTGATTGGGGAAGGTGTTTAGTGATTGGGGGAAACTTCATAACATGTTTCCAGTGTTGTATCCCGTGCCGTAGAACGGGTTGTCCATGGCGTTGGGCGAAAGCCCCTGGAGCAGGTCGAAGAGCGTCTTGTCCTCCTGGAGCATGGCCAGGTCGAGAGGCGAGAGGTAGAACTCGGCGTCCTGCTGCTTGATCATGGTCTGCGCCTTCGTGTAGCCCACCTCCTGGAGCGCGGCGACGGCGTTGAGGTCGTTGCAGTAGGAGGCCTGCCACAGGAGCGTCTTGCCCGTCTCGTCGCTCGCCTGCCGGGCGCGCGGCGTCCGCGCGGCCGCGCGCCGCGAAAAAGGGGGACGCCGCCGAAGCGCGGTCATGTCGACCTTCTTGAGGCGGCCCTTGAAGAGGTCGAGGTCGTCGGGCGTCATGAGCGGGATCATGCCGAAGACCTTCTTCCACTCGTCGAGGTCGAGATTCGGGGGGAACGCGCACGCGCAGAGGCCGACGCAGAAGTAGAAGGGCCGCGTGAGCTCGAGCGTGTGGACGCAGGCGCCGATGTTCTTCTGCGACCCCTTGCGGCACAGGCCGGCCTGCGGCGAGTCCGCGAGCGATTTGGCCCGCCGCGTCGCCTCGGACTCCTCATCCGTGCTGTCCTCGCTCACCTGCTTCTTGAGGCGCGCGAGGCACTCGCTGTCGGATTCGTCGGTCTTCTTCAAAGGCTTCTTCTTGGCTTTCCGCTTCTTCTCGACCATGGCTGCCCCGATTACGCGGCGGCCATTGTTCCACGCGCTTCCAGTCAGCGGCACCGTCGGTTTCTTTACCTCTGCGACGATGGGTGTCCCCTAGGAAGCGGGGCAGCGTCCTCCGATGAAGCTCTTCCTGCGCGTCGGCGAGGGCGCGACGGTGAAGGTGACCATCCCGAAGAGCTGGCACGCCCAGCCCGTGCGCCGGCTGCTCGCGCTCGCCGTGGCGACCCACAACACGCGCGGCGGCGCGCCGCTCGCGGAGGACGCCGCGCACCTGTCGCGCGACGGCGTCGACCTGGGCCTCGACGAGGTCCTGGGCGACGTGCTCCGCGGCCGCGACACCGTCGCGCTCGCGGCCGGGCCGTCGAGCCGCGGCGGCGCGCCCGCGGCCGCGCGCGCGGCGCTGCGGCGCGCGCGCGCCGCGCGCGCGCCGCGCGCCGCGGACGCGGCGATCCTCGCGGCGACGCTCTGGCGCCCCCGCGACGGCGACGGCAGCGCCGCCGACGGGCGCTCCGCGAACCCCTACTGCATGCTGCGCCGCGCGCCCGCGGCGTGGCCGAGGACGGCCCGCCCCCCGCGCGGCGACTGGCCGCCGCCCGAGGCGGCGCGGGGCGCCTTCGCGGCGACGGCCGCCGCGGCGCGGGCGTCCGACGGCGTCGGCGACGGGGCCTGGGACGCCACGGGCCCGGAGCGCTTCGACTGCGCGGCGGACCGCCCCGCGGCGCTCGCGGCGTGCGCGGCGCGGCGCGCGTGCGTCCTCGGCAACCACGGCGCGGTGCCCGCCGACGCGCCCTGACGCTCGAGGCCCTGGCGGCGTGCTCACGGCGCGGGACGCCGGCGCGTTCCACTACTACGTGGGCGCCGCGCGCGACCGCGACACGGACGAGGCCGCGGTGCCCTTCGCGGCCTTTGCTTCACAACGGGACCCGCGCGTCTACCTCCAGGCGCCCCTCTTCGTGTCGACGGACTACCGCAGGCCGCCGGCGAGCGCGCCGGGCCTCGGCCCGCGGCTCGCGCGGCTCGCGACGGACGCGTTCGACGCGCTCGCGCCGTATCGGACGGCCGCGGCGCTGGGCCCCTGGGCGCGGACCCAGCTCTTCGTGAGCCGCACCGGGGCGACGAGCCCGCTCCACTTCGACCAGTACGCGAACTTGTACCTGCAGCTCGCGGGCCACAAGCGCGTGTCGCGAACAGGGTGCGACATCCCCGACTTCAACTCGGCCGTTCGTTTCGGCTGATTATTGGACGAGCGATCATCTCTCGGAGCTGATTATTGGACGAGCGGTCATCTCTCGGAGCGGTTTCGAAGCGTCGATGTTTTTTCTGGAACGCGCGCGCGCGGAACACTCACGTTGAAGCGACGTTGAATCACCCGTTTCCCAGGTCGCTCGCGCCGCCCGAGTTCGCGCGACTCGCGAAGCCGCACGCCGCGCACGCGCCCCTCGACACCTACGCGCGGGCCCCGGCCGCGTCTGGGCCGGCGCGGCTCGCGACGGTCCTCGGGCCCGGCGACGCGCTCTTCATCCCGCCCTTCTGGTGGCACGCGGTCGAGACGCTCGACGACGACGCCGTCTCGCTCAATTTTTGGTTCGGCACGGAGAACGAGCTCGTCGCTCTGCCGACGGCGCCGCTCCCGGCCTTCAAGGAGCACGAGCTCTTCCGCCTCGTCCAGTACCTCGCCCACGACCACCTCGGGCCGGCCCACGTGAAACCCTTCGTCGCGGGGCTCGCCGCGGAGCTCGGCGACGACCCGCCGGACGACGCGCCGCGGCACCTCCGCGTCCAGAACTACGTCGTCCACCAGCTCGCCGCGCTCCTCGGGGTGGACGGGCTGCCCGTCTTTCGCGACACGTACCTCCGGCCCTTCCTCGAGGACGTCTAACGTCGCGGGTGGACGGGGTCGACGTCTCGCGGTGCCCGCGGCCCGCCGACCGGTGGCATCAGACCCCCGGCGCCGGCGTCTCCAGCCCGCTCGAGCTCGACTTCTCCAACTGCGTCGTCGGCGTCGCGGGCGCGCGCTCTACGCAGGAGTGCTGGGACTTCTCCAATAGCTCGTCGTCGTCGACGCGCTGCTGCTGCTGCAGGAGCGACCACGATGCATCTCCCGCAGCCGAAGCTCCCGGCGAAGAAGAAGGTGGCCGTGCCGCTGCCGACGCCCCGCGTGCCCGCGGCGGCGAAGCCCAATGTGGGCGCGGTCATGCCGCCCCGGGCGCCGTCGGCGACGTCGAGCCTGCGCGGGAGCGTGCTGAGCTCGCTCATGCAGGGCCCGACGACGGTCCCCGCGCCGCGCGTCGGCGGCGGGTCGAGCGACAACCTCCGGGCGGCCGTCGACGTCGCGGTCGACGTCGGCGACGACGCGTGCGCCTTCGCGGGCCCGAGCCTGCGGTCCGCGCGGCCCGTGTCGCGGCCGCGGCCGACGTTCGAGGTCGTCGCGCGCTTCCCCGGCGCGCTCGAGGTCGAGGTCGCGACCCAGAAGCAGGGCGAGGCCGCGACGCTCGTCGTGAGCAAGGTCCGCGACCTCGCGGCGCAGGGCGGCTTCGGCGACGACGGCGCGCTGTCCGTGGTGGGCCTCGCCGTCGTCGGCGTGAGCGCCGTGCCGCACCGCTGCGCGCCGCCGCCGCCGCCGGGGACGCTCCTCGAGCTCCGCGCGCGGCTGGGGCCCGCCGCGCCGCCGGCGGACTTTCCCCTCTACGTGCACCTCGCGGAGCCCCGCGCGGACGCGGACGTCGCCGCGGCGTCGGCCTTCGGCGCGGCGGCGGCGGCGGAGCTCCCGCGCGTCGAGGGCCTCGCGCTCGACGACGCGCCGGCGAGGACGTGGCACCTGCGCCAGGTCGTCGTGGCGACGAACCGGCGGCCCGCGTTCGAGGACGGCGAGGCGCGCTTCGCGCCGACGCTGGACACGGCCGCCGTCGACGACCGGGCCGGCGAGCTGCTGAGCACGTACCAGCTCCGCGCGTCCGCGGGCGCCGACAAGCTCGACGACGCCGACGAGGACGGCCTGTTCTGGGGCGCGGCGACGGTCGCGTACGACGCGTCCCTGCCGGACGCGGGCGCGCCGGCCTGCACGGACAAGGCCCACTGGGAGTACGTCGGCTGGGCGCCCCTGGCCCGCGGGGCCGCGCTCGCGAAGCTCCGCGCGGCGTCCGACGACGCGTTCGCGCGGGGCGAGGACGGCGCGATTTTGGCGTACGTCCACGGCTTCAACACGGGCCTGCAGTTCGCGGCGCGGTCCGGCGCGCTCTACGGCGCGGCCATGGCCCGGCCCGTCGTCCTGGTCTTCGCCTGGCCGTCGAACCCGCCGCTGCCTCGGAGCTGGGCCATCAGCGCGGTCCTATCGGTCGCGGAGCGCAACTACACGGCCGCGGAGCAGTCGATGCAGCGGTCCATCGTCGCGCTCGCCGTGCTCGCGCGGGCGCTGCGGAAGCTCGTGGGCGACGCCGGGGGCGACGCGCGCGTCCAGTGGAAGGCCCACTCCATGGGCTGCTATTTGCTGCTGAACGCGCTCAACGCGACGCGCGACCCGGACTCCAAAGCCTTCCACCGCGTCGTCCTCGACGCGCCGGACGTGCCGACCTGGTTCTTCGAGGACACGGTGCGGAGCGCCATCAAGCACGACGTGCGCTTCTTCCACTGCTTCCACGCGCGCGACGAGGCCGTCGAGATCTCGCGCCAGCGCCGGGGGCTGGACTTCCCCGTGCCGGGCAACGGCGCGGTGCTGGTCAACGAGCCGGGCTTCACCTGCCTCGACTGCTCCGCGGCCTACTGCTCCCTGGGGAACCACGACTACGGCCGCGTGGACCACACGGCCGTCGCGGAGCAGGCCAACTTCCTCGCCGGCGGCCGCGCGGACGACCGGCCCAACTGCGACCCGGGCCCGGGCGTCGGCGTCTGGGTCCTGCGGAAGTGGGCGCCGGAGCACGTCGTAAACTAGCGGTGCCGCGGGCGAACGGCATCTTGACACGGGTGCGCATGGCCTCCTATCAGGAGGTCGAGCCGGAGCCGCATCGCCGGGGTTGGACGCGACGAGACAAAGAGCCCGCTTTTTTGTCGTTTTGGTCTTAAATGGCGGGCTGGGTAGGTCGTTGCGTCCTTGGACCCTGCGCATCGCGAGGCC